CGCCGCGCCGCGTACCGCTTTCTTCTCAGCTGCCGCGCGGGCTTCTCTACGCATGCGCGCGCGCTGCCCCGCCCCCGCTGAGCACGCGCCAAGGGCTGCCCACCCCGCGTGCCGCGGGTCTCAGCCAAAGCGGGCTCTGGGCATGCGCACCGACGCCCCTCGGCCGGGCGGTGGGAGCTTGCAAGGCCCAGGAGTGGCCCCGGCGCGGAGGGGCAGGGATTCGCGAGCGGTTACTCCACGCAGGAGTCGAGTGAGCGGCCGGCTATCGGGCCCTGTGGAGAGCAGGGCTGGGGGCACTGGGAGACTGGAGGGCTGTCCGCCGGAGTTACCGCCCCGCCTGGTTACGAATCGACCCGGGAACGCGCGTCAGCGTGGGCACTACGTCCGGTTCCGAGTGGGAGAAGGGGCATAGGGGGTCCTAGGAACGGGGCTTTAGTGGAGGAGCCCTGAGGCCGAGAGAGACAGCCAGACGGAGACAAGAGACAGGGACAGGGCAGGCCAGGAAAGAGGCCGAACACGGGCAGAGAAGCAGCGGAGACCGGGACATGGACGCCCAACCGGTAGAGAAAGGGCAGGCACAGGAGACAGAGGGGAACAGAGGCCACCGTGATCCTGAGGGAGGAGTCACAGCACCCTCTGCAGGTTTCTGGCAGGGGGCGGAGAAACCAGTGTCGCTGAGCTCCAAGGGGGTCCATGGACATCTATGGTGGCCACAGTGCCTCGGTGAGCCATAGCGCTCTCTGGCGGATTACAAGAGTCCGTGGGGAGTGGAGTCACAGCGGCCCTTGGTGTGTTCTCAGACCTATAATGAATGGGTCCTGGATTCATAAGGGGCTTCATAACAGTTTGGGGGATGTCTAAAGGACACAATGCCTTTTAGAAAGGTGAGGACGCTCTCTGAGGGACTACGACATCACGAGGAGGCGGCCCTTGGGGTGTTAGCAGAGTCCCACAGTGTTGGGCCCCACAAGGAGCCTTCTGTAGGTGTCTTGGTAGCCCTGGGAGGGGGCAGGTAGCACGAGTGTGGGAGATCCAAGGAATCCTCTGGGATAACAGCTGCCAAAGGAAGCCTCCAAGCAGCTTTTTGGAGCTATCATAGCCCTCTGTGTTGCTGCATTGGTAACACTCATCCTGGGCACCAGCGCGAGGCACAGAGGGAGGCGCCCAGCAGGGTTAGTTGAAGACCCAGATGGCGAAGCGCGCTATGTGAGTAGAGACTCCTCCACAGACGGATGCACTGGTAGAACTTGCGCCTTGATGTGGGAGCAGCGCCCCGCCCAGCCCCAGCCTGGCCC